CTTCTATGTTTCTCTCTATCTCTCTTACTCTCTGTTTGTCTCGCACTGCCTCTTATTCTGTCTATATGTCTGTCTGTCCGTCTGTTTCTCTCTCTCTCTCTCTCTCTCTCTCTCTCTCTCTCTCTCTCTCTCTCTCTCTCTCTCTCTCTAGGGGACTCTCGTGGTCATGATATTAGGGTGCTCGCTTCGCACTCAATAGGTCCCGGTATCGAAACCTGAAAGGGACGGAACATTTTTCTTCGCTAAAATTTTCTTTTGTCACCTCCTTTCCTGCTCTCCGACCATGTTCTGTCGTCCGCTTTCGTTTCCATTCTCCCCATCCCCGTTGCCCCTCCTCTGGACTCCTGACGCTTTCTACAGCCTTTCTACTGCTATTCTTTGGCGCCTTCTTACTGCTGTCTTTCAGCCACACCCCTGATCTTATGATACGAGGTGTGTCTCAGAATAAAGTTTCCCTGTCATGCTGTCCTCACATATAATTATAAATCACCTTGCATTTGGTATCAACAGAAAGCTTATTCAAGTATCTATTCAACGTAGGAACCATCACGTTCAAGACATTTCTCCATTTGATGTTCCCAGTGGTCAAAGACAGTGGTCAGTGATCGTTTGTCCAAGGTCTCGAGTGCTTTTCTCATCGCCTCTTGAATCTGGTCCTCGTCCTCAAATCGCCGACCTCGCAGGATTTTTTTCACCTTGGGGAAGAGGTGGAAGTTGCATGGGACGAGGTAAGGCGAATTGGGCTGGTGCACCATTGATTCCCACGAGTAGCCCTCAAAAATCTCGTTCACAACTCAGGACTTGGGAACAGGCGCGTTGTCATGGTGCAGGATGACGCCTTCCTCAAGCAAAGCGGGTCTTTTTTTCTGGATCGCAGGTCTCAGCTTGTCTTTGAGGACGAACCTGTAGTAGTCACCATTGACAGTTACGCCAGGTTGACTAGCCAGCTTAGTATGATGCCACTCATGTCGAAAAAAATCCAATGTGCATCACATTTCTCTCCCCATGTTTTCTGTGTGCGCTTCATCTTTCATATCAGACCTCCCACCTTCAACCTCCCTGATCCATTTCCCTACTGTTTGAATTGATGGGGCATTATTTATTCCCTATTAGTTTGTAAAGATCACCATGGGTTTCAACTTGCCGAGAAGAGTTGACATTTTGATTACAACTCAGACATCATAGCATGAGAAGGTTGCACCAATGTTTTGCTCTGATTTGCCTTGGACAAAGTGCAGAAGTACAGCACACTTCACACGTCACAGCTCTATGACCCGTTCACCTATGCACTTGCAATTTGGCGTTGAGATTTCTTAGTCATGATGTCATGACCTCATAAACTTAAGTGGCTATTGATTGCGTACTTTCAGTTTTATTGAGGAGGGAATCTTTATTCTGAGACAGACCTCGTAGAAAAGATTTAACACCTAGCCTTCTCGGATAAGGGCGGAAACTCTCGGGGGTCCCGTATGCAAGTTGCGCAAGTTAAAGATCCTTTGGTGGCCATAAAAGGGACAAGTGTAGGCACTTGCCGCCACCCGGGCCAAATTCAAAATTCCTACCAAACTGAAAATGTTCAGTGTGCCCTGCGCTCGTATAGCTAATGCGAGCGAGGTGAAAGTTACCAAAACAGACGTCAGACACCTCTGTAGCTATTTGCTGATTTTGAAAGTTTTCCACGCCCATCAGGACAAGATCAACGATTTATGAGGCCAACTGCTAACCAAAGCTGTGTGGGATACTT